CAAGTTAGAGTATGTAGGAAAGAGGGAAATTTTTTCCCCAGTAAAGTAGGCCTTAGACAAGGATTGTGATGTCACGTGGTTGTTTAATATATTTATAGGATGGGGTTGAAAGAGAAGTAAATGCGAGGGTCTTGGCAAGAGGGTGGAGTTAAAAGATAAAGAATCACACAAAGTGAGAGTTGTCACAGTTGCTCTTTGCTGATGACACTGTGCTCTTGTGAGATTCAGAAGAGAAGTTGCAGAGATTGGTGGATGAATTTGGGAGGGTGTGCAAAAGAAGAAAAATTTAAAGTGAATACAGGAAAAAGTAAGGTTATGGGGGATAACAAAAAGATTAGGTGATGAAAGATTGGATATCAGATTGGAGGGAGAGAGTATGGAGGAGGTGAATGTATTCAGATATTTGGAGTGGAGTGTCAGCGGATGGGTCAAAGAAAGATGAGGTGAATCATAGAATTGATGAGGGGAAAAGGGTGAGTGGTGCACTTAGGAGTCTGTGGAGACAAAGAACTTTGTCCTTGGAGGCAAAGAGGGGAATGTATGAGAGTATAGTTTTACCAACACTCTTATATGGGGTGAAGCATGGGTGATGAATGTTGCAGGAGGAGAAGGTGGAGGCAGTGGAGATGTCATGTCTGATTGCAATGTGTGGTGTGAATATAATGCAGAGAATTTGTAGTTTGGAAGTTAGGAGGAGGTGCGGGATTACCAAAACCGTTGTCCAGAGGGCTGAGGAAGGGTTGTTAAGGTGGTTCGGACATGTAGAGAGAATGGAGTGAAACAGAGTGACTTCAAGAGTGTATCAGTCTGTAGTGGGAAAGGAAGGCGGGGTAGGGGTCGGCCTAGGAAGGTTGGAGGGAGGGGGTAAAGGGGGTTTTGTGTTTCGAGGGGCCTGGCTTGCAGCAGGCATGCGCGAGCGTGTTTGATAGGAGTGAATGGAGACAAAATGGTTTTAAAACTTGACGTGCTGTTGGGTGTGAGCAAAGTAACATTTATGAAGGGGTTCAGGGAAACTGGCAGGCCGGACTTGAGTCCTGGAGATGGGAAAAATGTGCCTGCACCTAAAGGGGGGGTTTTAAATGTTGCATTTTAAAAAACTGTAGTGAAAACCCCCTTCTGGCAAGAAGGATGGAGTGTTTGAGGTGAAATTTTTTTCTTTTTTGGGCCACCCCCCCTTGGGGGGGAAATCGGCCAGTGTATAATAAATTAATATAAAAAAAAATAAAAAATTTAATAATAAAATTTTTTTTGGGATTTTAAAATTCCCCCCGTTTTGGGGTGCCGGGGGGGGGGGGGGGGTTTTTCATGACGAGAGGATTAGGAGTGTTTCCCCTAAAGTAAACACGTTTTCTTTCTTTAACACCGGGGGTACAGACAAAAAAACATATTAATCTTGTGATTTTTCCCCAGAGCAGCAGCCCCCAAACATCTACCCCATTCACAAACATGGCAAATATTTTTAGGTAAGACACATATGCACAGTTAGTATCTTTATTTGAAACGTTTCGCCACACAGCAGGCTTCTTCATGAGTACAGAAAAGTTGATAGAAACAAAAAAGAGACTTTAAAACGTTTTAATCATCCATCACCCTTAAAGTTTTGGGTGGTAGTCCCTCGTTGGAGAAGTTCTTTAACCTTTGCTGTCGCGGGGCCGTTTATCGTTTGGAGGGACCGTGTTTTTAGTTATATACCATAAATTCTAGCGCTTCAAATAGAGGAGAAACTGTAGGCCCACATGTGAGAGAAAAGGGGCTGTTGGGCTTTTGCACCACATAAAAAAAAACCCGGAGCACGCAGTGCAAATGAGAAAAAAAAAAATCCACCGTTTTTTTAATTAAAATCCGACTTTGTGGCTTTTTCGTATATTTTGTGGTTGTATTCTGTTTTTTGGTTTCATTTTATGATGGAAATATTTAAGAAATGGAGGTGATTTTATTAATTTTTACTATAAAAAGAACCCGGAAAAAGGACAAAAGTACAGGAAATGTTTGATTTTTTCCGATGTTTAAAGTAAAAAAATGAGTCATTGTCAATAAAAGTCCCAAAAAGCCTTCTAATACCAGTCATGAAAGGGGTTTAGTAATTTTTTCAATTATTACAGTATTTCGTAGTTGCATAACTAAATCTTTTTTTTTTTGTTTGAATAAAATTTCAAAATAAAAAGCAAGGGTAATATCACAGGGACCTGGAGACATGACTGATGAACAAAGAAAATGTTATTTTAGAGCCAGGAATGTCTGCATTGTTCATTCTGGACCTTATTTTGAAATTGTCGTATTTTTTAATTTTCGTGAAATTGGCCAAATTGCAAATTTCTGACCATGTTATTGGGTAGTTGAAATCGGTAAATGGGCAGTTTCTTGTACTCAATCGATAGAAAAAATAGAGTTCTGAAGAAATAGTTATGAGTTTGGTTGACTGGAATAATGGAATTAGCCGAAAATAGGGCTCAAAGTGGGCGAAATTGCCGATTTTTAAATATCGCAGAAGTCGCTAACTTCGCGAGAGCGTAATTCCGTCAGTTTTCCATCAAATTTCGTTTTTTTGGTGTCTTTACAATCGGGAAAAGATTCTCTATCATTTCATAAGAAAAAATAATTTTTTTTTTTTCGAATATTTTGCGACACCAGAAGCAACTTCAGGATTTGGCCCTTCGACAGTCAAAGGGTTAATATGTTTATTATGCACCCATACCCATCCTGTGGGCGGTAGTCAAAAGATTACAGAGGTACATAATTGGTCCAGGGACTGGACTCCAAAGTTTTGATAGCTGAGCAAGTTACAAAGGTAATGAACTAGATCTGGTCATAATCATGACCAAGTTACAAAGGTAATGAGCTCCAGGTAGAGTTGGTCACACTCATGAATAATTGCAAAGGTAATGAATCATAAACACATTAATCATGAGAATTTACAAGGTAATGAGCTCCAGGTAGAGCTGGTCAAGATCATGACAAGTTTCAAAGGTAATGAATGATAAACACATTATCACATGATTACAATCATAGACAAATTACAGAGTAATGAGCAGTTAACAAACATAGCAGGGAATTCATCCATTGCCCCAACAACAGATGTTGCTAGGTGCCTGTCTCTCCTCGGCAGACAGCCATTGCAAACAGCAGCAAGTTGCCCCGGGATCTGCTGCTTGCACGAGCACCATCGACCCTCCCCAAGAGGTCCAAGAAGCCAGTGGCTCCGTTAGCAGCCCGATGGAGAGCTGTCCAAGGGACATGGCAACGTCCTGGTGGACGCCAAGTTGACTGAAGATCCCAGGCCCTCGTGTGCACGGATGTTGAAGCTTGAGGAACTGAGTACACACTGCCTGTGGCACACCTGACAGCTGCCTCGCGGTCGAACTCCACGATGCTGTCCCTGTAGTGGAAGCTCCTGTGAGCCCGGCACTCCCTGCAGTGCCATCGCTGACATCGTGGGTTAGGGGAGAAGTACCCTCTATAGATGGGGTGGCGCTGGGAGTTGGGTGGGTGAGGCGGGGGAGACGGGCAGGGGCGAGGCGTTATGAGAGGGTCACTGTTTACTACACACGCCCTCCCCCTCCCCCCAGCGGAGAGGGGGGGGAGGCGCTGACTGGTCCTGACTCAACAACACCAAACCTTCTGCACAACACTTCAACTATTTACGCTGAAACGATGCACTGGGAAGTCCGTTCGCTGCTCTGGTATCTTCTCAAAGCATTCACACTGAGTTCTGTTAAGTAGGGACCTGGTCAGCCTCTTTGACCAAGAGCTATCCTTGAAAATCCCGCAGCTAGCCCGCTACACAACCTGCCGCGTCGGCCATGTTAGGGAGGGAGGAGTCTGGAGAAGAGCATTGTTCCATAGTCTGAAACAATATGGAGTTGAAGTGACAGGATGGAGCCTTATATAGCGCCAGGAGGTGAGACGTAAGTCCCTTTGGGAGGTCAGGTCACTCTCAAATCCAGTCTTCAAGTCTCTTCTGCTTCTATCAACTTTTCTGTACTCGACTGAAGAAGCCTACTGTGTAGGCGAAACGTTTCAAAATAAAGATACCTAACTGTTGCATATGTGTCTTACCTAACAACCTGTCGGTATTTTATACCATTTTAATGGCATATATTACTCATTTCAGTGTCTTCATTACAGTTCTAGGGTATTTATCATGTTTCTGATATCAATTTGGAATAAATGTAATAGATAACCTTTAATAATGTTTTATCACTGACTTCAACATTTTATTAGCATCTAAGGCTAACATCCAACACCAATGACAATTACCGATAGTTGAAGTGTTATGCTCGCCTCTCCCTCTCTTATTAGCTCTTCCCACTCTTATGATGTTAGATGGTGAATTAATGTATTAGACAAAATTTACAAATTAAAAAAAAAAAAAAAAAAAAAAAATTGGAAAAATTTCTGAAAATTACATTTTAATGTAATACTTGATTTGTCATAAAATAATGTTTGTAAAATGATTATAATTCTTGTGAAATGTACAAAGGAGATACTTTACTAAAAAGTCGCCAGATTCTTAAGCTATTCTTCTGTAAGCTCTTAACTCGTGTGTAATTACTTTTTTATTGATTTTATGTAATTATAAGAGTTACGCAAATTAAAATAATCAAAGTTGGAGTTTCATTATTTTAGTTTTCTTTCAAATATACTACAGTGGACCCCCGCATACCGTACGCATTGCATACCGTACAATCCGCATACCGGACGCTTTGCCAGCTATGCAGGCATTTCCTGGAATATCTCAGAAGTCAGTCATTGACCTATTTTATGTTGTATTACCGTTAATAATAAACAACTTGAAAGGAATTTCCCAGCAAACATAAAACTGAATGTTTTAATTTTGGGTAGTGACATTTTTGAAGTGTCAGTAAGGGGTGATTCCCTGATTAGCAACTAATTCGTTTATTGACGGGATCTTAGGCCCCTAACTCCGTCGTTAAGTGAGAAGAGGCTGTAGAGAGTTTGCACTGAAGGAGGGGGTGGGGATATTGCAATTTGAAGAATATGAAATGTAACATCGGCATACCTCTAGCATCACAATGATGGAGTGAATGATGGCGAATTTTTTTTTTTTTCAGGTTGCCCTACCTCTGAGGGAGAAAAAAAAAATGCAGCATGAATAATTTCTGTAATCAGTTATTCAGATGGGAAATGCATTTGCTTTTTCCCAGTTTTCTTACAGTTGTCCTACTAGACAGATTGATTGGAGACGTTTGCTATTAGGTCACACACTGATTCTGCTCCATCTCTCAGCACCCATTAAGATATGATATCTGGCATCAGATTTTATGAAGCGATGTAACAAGTTAGCAAAATAAGATAAAATTAGAACAGTAAATATTTATCATTACATATTAATTAATTTCAAAATTTTTTTGACTTTTTAAAGATATTGGGAGACAATATTTTTTTGTTCTATCATGAAGCTTCCAAAATTTGCCATTTGGGCATGCATGCACTCAGATTCCTGAGGTAATTAATGGATAACTGGTTGACCTAAACATCTTTCATCTCCTGCTGAAGGTATAACATAAAATGTGGCAAGCTTCCATCTTCATGATATTCCAGACATTCTCAATAGGAATGAGGTCTAGACTATACCCTGGCCACTGTAAAACCTCAATATTTTTCTCAGCAAGCCACTTGATTACTTTTTTGGTCTTCTGACATGGGGGTGCTATAATGCATAAAGGTGGTGAAGCCTCCATTATAAACAGTATAAAGTGGTCCAGATTCATATTGCATATTTGATGCTATACTTCACCTGAATGTCTTCTGGGGGGTATCTGCTAACTCTGAAATAATAATAGAGATTGCAGTATGTATCACCTCTCAGTGCACCTGCATATGGAAGTGGGATAAGTTGTCCTACTGGACTGCTCTTCCCCAAAGTACCCAGGATTTGGAGCTGTATTAAGTGATGTGTAATTTTGTGCCAAAAGGATAAATATGAATTATTCAAAGATGAAGAGCAAGAAAAAAACCTGTATACTAGCTTGGAGACAAGAAAAAATCAGCACACAAAATTTGTCACCATATTGGATGAGTAAAATGCAGCATATTGGTGTTACTTGATGTTCCCCATGACCTCTCATCAATGTTCCCGCTACAAAACCTCATACTGGATGACCAAGGAGGACATCTAAAAACAGATAACATTCTATGCAGAGAACCTCGTGGACATCCCCATATGACTGCATCACAGCTCAAAGAAATAGATCCTGAATGCACGATTCATTGCATCCATCACCTACAAACAGACCTCTGCCTTTCAAGTAGTCATGCTGCAAGGAAAGCCCTACTCACACCCCATATGAAGTAGTGCCTGCAGTCTGCCAGGAAATATGCACACTGGGGTGTTGACGACTTGAAAAAAAGTCTTGTGGTAAGATGAATCCATCTTTCAGTCCATTCAAGGTCATCAAAGCAGGGTGAGGCACCCCTCCTCCATCAGCAGGTATGACCATGCATGCACAGTGAGCATCGTAAAGCACCCACAATCCGTCATGGTTTGGGGTTACTTTAGTGGTTTACTTCCCAAAATGTTACAATAATGCCAACCACTATATCACTCTTCTCAAGGACCACCTGCTGAATATTTAAAAATTCACAACTGCCCCACCTTCATGAATGATAGCACCCCCTGTCAAGGCCAAAAATAAGTAACCAAGTGGCTTGCTGAGAAAAATATTGTTTTTTTACAGAGGCCAGGGAATAGTTCAGGCCTCATTCCTATTGAGAATGTCTGGAATATCATGAAAAAGATGGAATCTTGCCACATTTCATCCATGTCATACCTGTAACAGCAGATCAAGGACACTTGGGTCAACCAGTTATCCATTAATTACTTCAGAAACCTGAGGGCCTTCAAGAATCTGTAGCCTTGATAACTATTTGAAACCCAAATAGCTTCAAATGGTTATCAAGGCCACAGGGAAAAAATATTAATGCACTTAAGTATGAAGTATTAGAGGTTTTGTTCTGTATTGTTTATATTGCTGCCTTTTAAGTTTTTATAATACGTAATAAAATTGAGGTCTTTTTTTTTGTGGGCACTGTACTATAATGTTTCGTTAAATATATTTAGCTTGATTCCAGACATTGTATAGTGCTTCTTATCAATACTATGTCAATATATTTATCAACCCTTTAGCAATAAATACTAATAAGAGCTTACTTTCCATTAACCCTTTCACTGTCAAGACCCCTGCTCACAAACTTGTTCTCCGTGTCAAAGAATTTAAAAAAAAAAAAAATTACAAAATTATGCTCTCGCGAAGTTAGTGTCTCGGTGATATTTACACATCAGTGATTTTGACCAATTTGAGCCCTATTTTGGGCTAATTCTTTGTTCCAATCGACTCTATTCATAGCTATTTCACTAGCACTCCTTTTACCCTATTGATAAAGAAGCCACCCATTTACCTATTTCAACTACCCAATAGTGATCAGAAATTGGTAATTTGGCCAATTTTGTAAAAAAATGCAAGAAAAAAGGCCAATTTCAATATAGGATCCAGGATTAACAAACATTCCTAGCACTAAAATAACGTTTTCTCTGTTCATTAGTCACGTCTCCAGGCCCCTTTTATATTACACTTGATTACATTTTGAATTTTCATTCACACAAGAAGTAGATGATTTACTGTTATGCAGACTACTGCATTATTGTAAAAATGCTATAAATAATATCAATTCATTTGTGAAAGCATATTAGACCCACTAACTGACATGCATTGGACATGTGACGTAATTTGTTTACTCTTGAACATCGTCAAAAAATTGAACATTTCCGCTACACTGAGCTCACTTTCACGCTACTCTCAGTTTGTACACCATTCAAAATCATTTCTATTTGTATAATATATCTCCCATTCTATCAAATGAGACCAAGAAACTGGGAATATAGCCATAAATACCATACAAAAATACATTGCAAAGTTGCCATTTTAAACCAAAAATACGGTTGCAGTTCTTTTCTCGTTATGCACTGCATGCTGCAAATACTTTTTATACTGCACACACTGACCACTAAGACCCATTCTCTCATGTAGGTCTACCAGCATTCTCCTGCAAGATTGGAAGCTGCTAGAATTTTGGCGTAGAATTACGGGACCGACACTGGCTTTGAAGCTGTAATATTATAAGAACATAAGAAAGAAGGAACACTGCAACAGGCCTACTGACCCATGCAGAGCAGGTCCATGATCCCCTACCCCCAGATTAGCCCTATGACCCACCCAGTCTGGTCACCTCCACTCAAGGAAGGAGCACGGCACCAGACCCAGCAGCACAAGCTAGTCAGGTCCAACTCTCACCCACCCAAACCCACTCATGTATTTATCTAACCTATTTTTAAAACTACACAACGTTTTAGCCTCAATAACTGTACTCGGGAGTTTGTTCCACTCATCCACGACTATTACCAAACCAGTGCTTTCCTATATCCTTCCTGAATCTGAATTTTTCCAACTTTAAACCATTGCTGCGAGTCCTGTCTTGGCTGGAAATTTTCAGCACGCTATTTACATCCCCTTTATTTATTCCTGTTTTCCATTTATACACCTCGATCATATCCCCCCTAATTCTACGATTCTATGCCTTTCGAGTGCTGATTCAGGGCCCTCAGTCTATCCTCAGAGGGAAGATTTCTGATACATGGGATCATCTATGTCATCCTCCTCTGTACGTTTTCCAGAGCATTTACATCCATTCGGTAATACGGTGACCAGAACTGAGCAGCATAGTCTAAATGACAGCAAAATGACAGCGAAAGAGTTAATACTCACCCACGAGAACTTGCCAATATGCAGCTCCTTGTAAATGTTCATAGTAGTCTCTAAACTTTTGCTGAATATAAAGATGACATTGATAGAGGGTTGATGAGAATTTGGAAACTTTTTTAGTCCCAGTTGCTGTAGCTCACCACAATCAGGTGCTAGAACAACCTCTACCAGCAGTCCTGGGTTGATCAACTCTGATGTCAATATACAAGGCTGAAAATGAAATAAATTCTATTTGAGTAACTGAATAAAAATTAATGGGTACCTTGATGAAATTATGACAATACACTATATATACTATATTACACTATTTATACTATATTACACTATTTATACTATAATCCCAGCAATTTGTTATCAAAAGACAAATACAGTGGAACCTCTGTTTTCGTATGCCCCAGTTTTTGTAAGATTTGGGTTTTGACAACTTTTTTTTTGTTAAAATTTTGTCTCAATTTTCGTGCATCCGTTCGGTTTTCATAGAGTTGAAAATGGTCTGTACCAAACGTGTCCGCATGACTCGGCCACTCAAAGCACCCCATGCATTCGTGACTCGGTCTGCCTTTGTTTCTCGTTGAGTGAGCATCACCCCGCACGTTCATCCGAAACATTTCATAATAATCCATTGTTTTTTGTGCTTGTTTATCGAGTGCAACTGCTAAGTAAGCCACCATGGGGCCAAAGAAAGTTCCGAGTGCCAGCCCTTTGGGAATGTCCATGGGGTTGGATATGAGTGACCAGGATGTGGAAGAGCTGGTGGATGACCACAGGGAAGAGCTTACCACTGAAAAGCTGCAAGACCTGCAACTGCAAACAGCAAAGAAATGCAGCTGAGGAAATTGCTTCAGAGAAAGAGAAAGGGGAGAACATGCCTTCTTCAGTAATTAAGGACGTGTGTGCAAAGTGGAGCGGTTGCAAAGTTTTGTGGTGAAATATCACCCTAACAAAGCTGTTGCAAGCCATGTCTGCAACATGTTCACTGACAATGCCTTGTCCCATTTTAGGCAAACCTTAGAGAGATACCAGAAACAATCTCTCCGGCAGATTTTGTGTGTGACAGCCGTACAGTGACTCAAGCTGGTCCTAGTGCCAGTAAAAGACAAAGAAGGGAAGTAACCCTGGATAGGGCCTTGATACCTGAAATCCTTATAGAAGGGGATTCCCCTTCCAAACAATTTCTCCTCCTCCCTCTCCCCTCCTTGCCATCTTCCATACGCCAACAAGTGTCTTCACTAAAGGTAAAGGTGATGTCAAATGTTCATTTATCCATTTCATTAGTCATTTATATTTATTTCTCATTGTTTTCTGTATGTAAAACTACAGTTATTCTCTATAAAATGTATTTTTTGTTAATATTTTTAGGTGTCTGGTACGGATGAACTGGATTTTCATTATTTCTTGTGGGAAATACTGCCTCAGTTATCGTACAATTCAGTTTTTGTCAGACTTTTTAGAATGGATTAATCATGAAAACCAAGGTTCCACTGTATTAAAACATTCCAGGAACCTGCTATCGGACACAGGTATTAAAACATTCCAGGAACCTACTATCAGACACAGGTATTAAAACATTCCAGAAACCTGCTATTAAGACAGGTATTAAAACACTGATTTTTCTGCACTGATAAATTTTTTTGCATGAAAAGCACCTTAAAAACAATAAAGAACATTAATTTGTTTTAATTATGAAGAGTAAAATGAATGTGCAACAGTTAGGTATCTATATTGTTGACTGAAATGTTCTGCCTACAGAGTAGGCTGCTTCAGTCAAATATAGAGGCAGTAGACATAGTAGCAAAATAATGATGTAATCAATCCATCATCCTTGGAGGAATAGTTTTTGAGGTGGTCAGAAAAAAGAAGTTCCCTTGAAGCATGATGTCAGTGACAAGCATCCAGAGGGCAGTGATAAGATAAGAGGTAACATTTGATGGGCACCTACTAGGGTGCAGAGATAAGATAAGGGGTGATATTTGATGAGCATCGGCATCTCTCTCTCTTTATGTGTCTGCTTTTTTTTTTTTTTTTTTTTTTTTTTTTTTTTTTTTTTTTTTTTTTTTTTTTATACAGGGTTTGACAAGGTTAAGGATCCCTAGCTTTATTGACAATCTATTTACAGGTTAAGGATTCCTAACTTTATTGGCAAGCTAAGAGCTGTTACCTACATCAGCTCATTTGAAAGCATTTTTATTGTTATGAGACATACAAGTAGGGAACAGGATGAAGTTGGAGCCATCTGTGGGCCAGCATTTTCATTTGATCAACTGACTTTATCTCGTTGACATCATTATGCTGTACGAATGTGTTCCATACTCGAGTCATCCTGGGTATATAGGATCTCAGATGGAGTGAAGTTCTGGAGAAGGGTACAGCCAGAGTGAAGTTGCTGCTCTCTGCCCGTCTTGTGGCATAAAAGCTTGTTTCACGCTGTCCTCGAAGTGGATCCAAGTGTGGTACTTTGACAATATTGGCCTTGTACATAACAGTAAGGCCACCCACATCCCTCCTATGTTGAAGGCTCTGCTGAAATGACAGATCTATCCAGGATGGGTCCAGGCAAGAGATGAGACATCTTGCTCTGTTCTCTACTCTGTCAAGCAGTCGCAGATGAGAGGGGGGTGGGCCAGGCAAACCAAGAAAGTGGAGCATACTCAAGGTGCGAGCGTACTTGTGCCTCGTACATTATTATAATAAAAAAGAAGCGCTAAGCCACAAGGACTATACAGCGCTGCAGGGCAGGAAGGAAGCGAGGGCATCAGGTGGCAAAAGGTAGATGGATGAGTAATAGGTTACAGATAACAGCGGGGTAGTGGATGGTGAAAGGGTAAAGGGCAGCAAGAGACTGAACTAGAAAGGGCTGAGGGGAGTGCGAAAAGTATCATCAGAGTTTGTGGAGTAAATCAGTCGTTGTCAAGAAGTCAATGAGAGAGTCAGGATTAAAGGAGGGTCCATCAGCAAGAAGGGGAGGTAAAGAGAAAGTAGTAGAACGAAGACGACGTTGGAGGTAAATTCTGCGTGCTCGTTGATAGAGAGGGCAGTCTAACAGAATGTGGCTAATCGATACTGGAACTTGACACTGCTCACAGAGAGGAACAGGGTGCCTCTCCATGAGATACCCATGAGTAAGACGAGTGTGGCCAATGCGAAGGCGGGAGAGAGTGGTCTCCCAACCTCGGCACTGATGACAAGAAGACGGCCAGTAACCTATGCTCGGTTTAATAGAATGAAGTTTGTTACCGAGCAGAGTTGACCAACGTTGTTGCCAACGGGTGCGAAGGTGGGTAGCTATTGCAGCAAAATAGTCCAGAAATGGAACACCTCGATAGGAAATCGGTAGGTCATGTACTGCTGACCGCGCAGCAGTGTCTGCCTGTTCATTGCCCTGTACGTCGACATGACCAGGGACCCAACAAAAAACAATATCTTTATGTTTGGTAGAGATATGGCATAGCCAAAGTTGGATACGGAGAACTAGGGGATGAGATGTACCAAATTTTCGTACAGCCTGTAGAGCACTAAGGGAGTCTGAGACTACTACAAATGATGACATAGGCATAGATGCGATACGAATAAGTGCTGCAAGAATGGCATACAGTTCAGCAGTAAAAATGCTAGCTGAAGATAGTAAATGCCCCCGCACGATGCTGTCCGGAAACACTGCTGCGAACCCGACGCCGTCTGAAGACTTAGAGCCATCTGTATACACAGCGGTGGCATGAGAATGGGAGTGGAAGTGATCAAGAAAAAGAGAGCGGGAAGCCACCGTAGGCAGTTGAGCTTTCGAGCAAGGGAGTGAGAAAGAACAGACCCGAACAGCTGGAACCTCCCAGGGGGGTAGGGAAAAGTGAGATGCTACATGAACATATAAAGGTGGTAACTGAAGGGAAGACAAGAGTGAATGTAGGCGAAGAGAAAAGGGACGGAGCAAACAGGGGCGGCGAACGAATAAAGAATGTCTACTAATATCGGTGACCATTCTATAAATGGAAGGATTGTGTAGATCGTGAGAGCGTACATAGTAACGAAGGCAATGGGCATCACGGCGATCAGACAAGGATGGTCACCATAATCGAGTTTCGATAAAACGAGGGCTGAATGTAGGCGAAGCAGAGTTCGACGATCAGCTCCCCAGGAAAGATGAGCAAGGGTTTTAAGAAGGTTTAGCCGGCTGTGACAAGTTGCCTTCAGAGAGGTAATGTGAGGTTTCCAGGATAACCGACGGTCAAAGAGAAGGCCTACGGTCAAAGAGAAGGCCTAGAAACCTGACTGTATCACGTTCGGGGATACGGGAGCCATAGAGATACAAAGGATGATCGGAGATAACAGAGCGTCTAGTGAAAGTAATTTGGTGAGTTTTGGTACTTGAAAATTTAAACCCATGCGTGGTGGCCCAAGTGGAAACACAGTCGACCGCATGCTGGAGAGAAACTGCAATAAGGTGACAGTCAGCGCCTGCACAAGCAATAGTGAAGTCATCAACATAGAGTGATGACCAAATATTGGGTGGAAGAACAGAGGCCAAATCATTTATAGCAAGGAGAAAAAGTGTTGTGCTTAGAACACATCCCTGAGGGACACCTTCAGCTTGGACGAAGTCCGGGGAAAGAACATTATTGACTCGAACACGGAAATGTCTGTCAGTTAAAAAGTTCTTAAGGAAGGATGGTAGATTGCCTCGGAGGCCTAAGGAATGGGCCTGGGCCAAAATATTATACCTCCAAGTTGTGTCATATGCCTTCTCAAGGTCAAAAAATATGGCAATAACTGAGTGATTATTCGCAAAGGCAATACGAACATACGTATCCAAGCGTAGTAAGGGGTCTATGGTAGAACGACCCTTATGAAAGCCATATTGACTAGCGGAGAGACTGTTGTGTGTCTCTAAATACCACATTAAACGTCGATTTACGAGACGTTCCATCACTTTGCAAACTGCACTAGTAAGAGCGATGGGGCGATAGTGGGAGGCATCATGTCCTGTAGTACCCGGTTTGCGGAAAGGGAGAACAATGGCAGATTTCCACAGCTGTGGAAGAACTCCTTGTGCCCAAATAAGATTGAAGAGGTGTAAGAGGACTACAAGGGCTGACCGATGTAAATGTTGTAACATACGAATATGAATGTCGTCAGGCCAAGCTGCCAATGATCGGCAAGCTGAGAGCGTTGCCTCCAGTCCTTGAAGTGTAAAAGACATATTATACTGTTCTTCTCTG